CAAAGGGTAACATTTGTAAAACAAGATTCCCTACCTTTGGAAGCCGAAAATGTATATTGCTTGGAGTATTTTTCTTCAGAGTCCGGATCCGGAGAGAATCCAGGCAAAACAAAGTAAACATGAATGTACATTGAACCATTGTTTTTCAGATTCTGCAAAAAAGATTATTAAATGTAGGTGCTGATTGTCGCAATTCAAGCGTTGTTGGTTAGAGCCTACGATACTCACTTCACTAGCCTTCAAGATCGCCGTCTTTGTATAACTTCCATCACGCGCCTCTCCATCTTCCCAATTTCCATATCGTAGACCTTCAAGGTGCCAAAATAGCAACGATGGATCACTATAGTTGGTCATCTGTGGTGTTTCAGTGAGGTAGACAAACATGTCTAAGGCCTCGTCTTTCATAAGAATATTCGAAGATTGCGCTGGGGCGGCTGATTTCCCAGGCGGTGTTGGAGTAGGATTGCGACGAAAAAGATTGAAAATAAAGTAGGTAAAAATAAGGCGGAATAGGAAAGTTTTGATCATCGCCCATTTATCCATGCGATACTGAGCAGCGTTTGGGTTAGCCCCACCATTTGAACCGTCAGTCTACAAATTTGGACCGGAAAAGTTTACCTATTAGAGGAGCGGGATGACACACTAAAAAGACTCCTTAAAATCATGCGGAAGCTCGATCACTTAAAATAGAAGTTAGAGCCAGGAAAAATTCCAGACGATAAACATGATAATTTGAACATTTGCGTCCACGCAAGGAAATATACGGTAATCTATACAAGATTTGATTGAATTCGAACGCTGTAAGGCGTCTGAGATAGCATGCCGGTATAAAATTGCTCACATGAGCTATTTCCTGCGCCATGCCAGAGTCGAAAACACGAGAAACCTAGCACCGAGCCAACACTAAAATTGCCGCGGTGGTCAGTGTGCAAATAAAGCAATAACTAAAGTTTTCCTACCAAATGTTTCGCTGAAGAAAATAATAAAAGTACCAAATTTTAGAATAACAAAATTGTAATTTTTGTATTTACCTTCAAACACAGCACTTTGAATTATGTGAACTACTAGAAGCGAGACAGATTCTTCGAGGGTAAATGGCCACCACCGCTGTAACATCTTCCCTGTTCTACTACCTGTGCAAACGGCCCCCTTTCCATGGTTGCCTGGATTTCGAAGTTTAGAGAGCTCTACTTCTCCGCCCTGCCTTAACATCACGTCACTCAACTTTGGTACTATGCTTCCAAATATTGAATAGGAAGTCTTTGCGAGATGCGACCCCAAAGACGATAAACGATACATGTGTCGAGCATACCAGATCAACTCGAACATCTCAATCACGCTCTGCGCCACCGCCCCTATCAGGATCCATATGGATGGGCTCAGTATGTGGGGAGACCCGCAATTACCTAAAAACGGGATAGCACCTATTGAAATAGCTTCTCCACTGCTCTATCATTTCATCACCGGCTTTGAGCCTAGGATGTGGGATTCTGGTTTAAAGCCTATGGTACTCTAATAACGACTGAGCCAATACTAACTACATCATGAACAATTGAGACTTCCAAATTACTCAGCGCACTAGTCCAGTCCCCCTGATTGCTTATGTGTACGAACGAGCCTAGCATAAGTCTGAACAACGGATCACAGTGCAAAAAAGAAACTCATCATACATCACAATTCCTCGCCCGTTCCATTGCTCTGTTGGGTCGATTCGCAACGTTGATAGGCGGTCAGGCACCAAAAAATGTCTTGATGGCAGGGAGGGAGAATGAGTCAGTTTCGAACTTCTCAAAGATGGGCGGCAATCTGTAGAGTGGTCTCATACGTTCT